TTTCTGAATATTTTCATTCCAAAAATGTCCGCTTTATTCAGAATTCATGGCACTACAATTCCAAAGTATAATAACAGTCATGTAAATCATTTTTTCCCAGAACGAAGCATTGCAATTTGCGAAAATCGTCTGTTTTTTCAGAAAATTTTCTGTTATTTTCAAACACGATACTATCACTAAAACCTTCTGGGATGACATGCTATACTCATAAATGATAATTTTGTAATCTCTAGTGACGATTGAGGGTTTTTCAGCCTATCAAAATTGCATTATTGAGAGTTTGTAGGCCTATTTTTGTCCAAAACTCTTTTTTTTGGTTGAAAACATATTTGGAGGTTTTGACATGTGAAAGGCATTTACGTCACTAAAACCACATGTAATATTGACCTCATGCATGTCATACTAATGCCAAAGGATGCCCCAATCTCACTATATGAGAATATTCCACCTTTAGGTTTCGCACAGCATCAATGTGTTCCGGCGTTACAGCTGATATTTTACGACTTTCCTGCGGACTCATTTTTGAGTGAGCTTCGTCAACATTTAAAATCGTTATATCACCTCTAAATACTTGGAATGGACCGAGTTTTATCACCCAAAGCGAATTTGAGGCTATCACGGCACTCTTGTTGAGTTAGTCCCTCTCAAAAATCGGAAAAAATCATTGCACTAAAATGTTTGCGGAAAAATTCAATTTTTTCATCAAATTGAAATATTCAAGCTCATAAAACACCACAATCCGTAGTGAATCAACAGTTGACGTCTGAGGAAACTTAGCTTAAAAAAGGTCAAACTTTTTGACTGACCCAAAGTTTTGCTTCGGAAAACACTAGAACTAGGTTAGGCCAGAAACTTAAGCAGCAACCTACGTATACCGAGTTGATGTTAGCTATACATAGAACAATATAAACCGAACAAATTTAATTATTCCACAAAAAATGGAATTCCATCAATTTAGGTGTCATTTTGTAGTGACCGAAACAATGAAACTACTCCTCTTATTTGATTGAACAAAATATGGCTCAGAAAGAAGATGAAATTTCAATTTCTTGAGATATTCTTGATTTAAGGAAATGAAATGATGGGCTTATCAAGAACATGAGACTTTCGTCGCTCGATACACAGATACGAAACAAAAATAAAGCAATCCACTAAAGTGGAACATGGAAAAGAAATTCGTGATATAGATCCATTGATATGACACAATGCGAGAAGATTCGTTCTAAACGACACTGCAGACAAAAAATCTATCAAAATGGAACACCGCAAAGCGAAATACTTAAAGCGGCACATGCTACGTTTCATTCTTACGGATTTCCATGTTCCACTTTAATGGATTGCTTTATTTTTGTTTCGTATCTGTGTATCGAGCGACGAAAGTCTCATGTTCTTTATAAGCCCATCAAATAGGTATTGGCATTTCGGTTAAAGGTCAATATGACCCAACACACGCGGAAAAAAGTGATGTACAGTCTGAGCGATATGTCTTGACCGCATTGACAGTTGTTGGCAATTCTGCGCCTTGTAACATATAGTCATGCTACTCACTCTATAATGCTGTAAAGAGACATGCAATGACATTTCGAACGAATGACAAGCAACCGACTTGCGATTGCAAGGAGCGAGCTGTGCGTTTGTATGTATTGGTTGGTATTTGAATCTGAAATATGTTGTGTGTGCGTCTCTCGCTTTGCTTCATCTCATCCACATGCGACACACTCATTAAATGAGTGCGAATTTTTTTCAGCATATTCACCAATATTTAAATGTATGGCGCTGTTCATTTTATAAATTCAGTGCTGCAATGAAATAGTGACGAGAATGAACGCTGTTGGTGTTTTTATGTTTATATTCCATTTCAATGCGCCATCCGAATGATTATGAATGAGAAAGTGAGACAGACGCACACACAACATCTTTCAGATTCAAATGCCAACCAATACATACAAACGCACAGCTCGCTCCTCGCAATCGCAAGTAGGTTGCTCGTCATTCGTTCGAAATGTCATTGCATGTTTCTATACTAAATTAGTGAGAATATTTCTTTCACATCATTCATTTCTCCGCTATGACTCTGTGTTCGTATATGTGTATTGGAAACGGATGATGAGTGAAGTGCGCATTGTAAAACAATGGAAGGCCTCCATATTGAATGTGCTGTACTCAATGTGACAGTTGTTTGTGTGTATGCATGCACTTGCTTCGATGCTAACACAGAATGAGCATGAGCATGACGACTTTATGCGCAGATAGGTTTATCTCACTCCCGCTACATAAAATCGTTGTGGTTTTGTTCCGTGCATTGTTTGGTTGGCACAACCGTTCTTGTTTTTCAGCATTATTTCTAAATGTCAATGCGGTCAAGACATATCGCTCAGACTGTACATTCATTGGAATTCAAAAATAGTTGAGATGCGTTCTATATCTCTATGGAAAGTGTCATTAAGTACGGCTATGGTTTTGTATGAGATTCGCTTAAGATTTTTTAGGGAATGCGTAGCTGTTCAACAAAGCAACGCAGCCACGGCACTTGGCTTGAATGTAACGCAAAGATATGAGTCAAGCCGTTTAATCATTCATATTCATATTTACCATATGTTAGCGACGGTTGATCTGTGGTTATTTGTTGAATTTGAAACGAATATGAAACGGAATGTGTTCTGTGCATGCCGTGAAGACGTGAACATTTTCATATTCAAATAGCCTCGTCAAAAAACACCACTCATCACTTCAAGAGTGAAGAATGTTGGCTTAAAGAACGAGGCGTAAATTCTTGCAGATTTTTATACCATTGTGTTTTCAAGCAGTAGTGGAGAAGGTACGGACTCAAATACACTGTACTTCAGTACTATTGATCACGGTGGCTCCATATTATTGCAAAAAACACAAATGGTATAAAAACTTCACACGTTCTTTGCAGTTCAATTGCGTTGTTTTTCACAGCTGCGGCTATGACAGCGAACTCGTGACTATATCGTTCATTCGTTCATTCCCTCATTCGTGTTTGTGCATGTATTCGCACGGCTGCCGAATGATTTCTATATAAACATTCGTACTCGCGAGAACATTCGAGAACAGTGAAATGCGACTGCTTTACGACAAATATGTGTTTTCAGATTGCTGAGCATCTCAGCATTTCGCAAGGCACGGATATATCCGAGCATATCGACGACGCATACTGTATAATACAGTGGCGTGTGTTGCTACGTGCAGCCGCAACGACTCGACCGAAGTGTGTTCAGTTGATGTGCCTTACGAAATGCTGTGATGCTCAGCAATCTTGAAACACATGTTTGCTTTACTAATTCGAATTCGAGTGCGAATGTTCACAATGAATTAAATATTCGACTGTAGCATTGAATTTTCTTTTAAGCTTTACTATCTAAATACGGCCAAACTAGTTATAATGCCATCGTTAGATGGCGTTTGCTCTATTCAAAAGCTAAAAGGTCCTCCGTGGTGTGCGTTTTTCATATTATCGCTAAAATTTTATTTTATCCCATTAAATCAAGAATATTAAAAAAGAATTGATTTTGAAATGAAAGCCAATTCGGTCTTTGTTCTAATCGATAATTTATTTGAAATAAATGCAGACATTTCAAGTCATCTGCGACTCTTCTTCAAGGCCTAAAAATAACAAATTTTTTGGGTTCAAGGATACTATGACGATGCAAGCGTAATAATGGGCTGTAGTATTGTTATCTTGAAAATTGTGTGCGATAATATTTTGTGGGCTTTGATTAGAATCGTCATTGTACGTGGATTGAATCATACAGTGTGTTGCCCACCGACGTGGCCACATTTGAAAAGTATATAAGAGGATGCGTTCGATTCGCAAGTACATCAAACAGATCTTACCACATTCTAATTCACATCATGTAAGCGACGGTCGATCTGTGGTCAACTTTGGATCGACTTTGAAAGAAATGTGTTTTGTGCATGCAGCGAAGATGTGGAAATTTTTAAATTTGAACAGCCACGTGCCATAGTAACACCACTCAACCCTTCAAGAGTGAAAAATATTTACTTTTTAAATTGTTACATTGAATTTGTAGTTTAAAGAAGGTGATGAAATAACAAATGTAAACATCTGATATTTTCAATGCAAAACATTCGAGTGATGTGAAACGCGAAATTAAACACACGTGCACAGGTGGAATTATAATTCCATCAATTGTTTTTATTGTTATCTTGAAAAATGTGTGCGATAATATTTTGTGGGCTTTAATTAGAATTGTCATTGTACGTGGATTGAATCATACAGTGTGTTGCCCACCGACGTGGCCACACTTGAAAAGTATATAAGAGGATGCGTTTGATTCGCATGTCCATCAAACAGTTCTTACCAATTGATACGTTCATAGTAAACTTTTAATAGTTCGAAGCTAGAAAAATGCTGAGTCGAAGTTCTTTCACACTGCTGCTCATTGGCTTGATGGTATCCGAGGTGAGTCGACAATTTCAGTCGATTTTTTTAAAAAAAATTCATGTTTGATACTTTTCGTGGACAATTTGTGATAATTTTTTCTGAAATAATTAAAAAAAAGAAAAGTGTCCTTTTTCAAGTTCTTCAATTGAAAAAATTCTTCTGTTCCAAAAAAATGTCCTCCGGAAACTTTTATTCTATTAAAAACAGTTGAAAACTGTTATTAATACATTTATAATTAATCTCATCCGTTGTTCCCATTCCAAATGTATCACCTTGATTCTATTTCCACAGTTCTTAATCGAGGATGTGAGCGGAGCACCACCCGGGAGGAACGGTAAGATTGAAGTTTCATTTATTTATCCAGTTTAACTCTTAAATTCCATATACAAAGCACCTTGTAACGAAGATATGGGAACCTCATTTATGCTAAACTTTTCACACATATTTTAGTAAACGAAAAAGACATAAAGGGAGAGACAGCTCTGCATAGAGCTGCTTTAGCTGGTAATTTTAAAGAATGTTTTGTTCAATCCGTTTCATTGATCTATGAATATTCTTCATATTCTTTCAGGCAAAGTGAAGGAAGCTCAAAACCTCATCGCTAAAGGAGCCGACCCTAATATTGGGAATGATTTCAATCAGACAGCTCTGCATTATGCTGCTAAGAAAGGTAACGTTGAAAACTAACTGTTATTGAATAAAAGATTGACCTGATTTTATCCCATCGATCGGTGTTATTGTTCAGGTCACAAGAGTGTCGCCGAACTTCTCATCCGCGAAGGAGCCAATCTTGATAGTGAAACTAATACGAAAGACACACCTCTTCATTATGCTGCTAGAAATGGTAATGTTGAATACTTGTTTTCATTAAATAAAAGATTGATTTGTGCTTTTCCATCGATCTGAATTATTTTTCAGGTCACAAGAGCGTCATTGAAGTTCTCATCCGTAAAGCAAACGATCTTAATATTAAAAATAATTTGCATCACACACCTCTTCATTTGGCAGCTATGAATGGTAAGGTTGACTAAATAAGATATCCCGCCGATCTCATTCATTGATCCGCATTATTTTAGGTCACGGAGGTGTCGCTGATGTGCTTCTCAAGAATGGAGCTAACGCTGATATTGGAGATGATCAGAATAACACAGCTCTTCATTTAGCTGCATACGATGGTAATGTTGAATGCTTGTTCTGTTAAAGGAATGATTGATTTGATCTCTTTCATCGATCTGAATTTTTTTTCCAGGTCACAAAAATGTCGCCGAGGTTCTCCTCAACAAAGGCGCCAATATGGATGTCATGACTGATTTGAATCAGACACCTCTTCATATGGCAGCTATGAATGGTGGGGTTGACTAAATAGGATATCCCGCCGATCTCTTTCATTGATCCGTATTATTTTAGGTCACGGAGGTGTCGCTGATGTACTTCTTAAGAATGGAGCTAACGCTGATATTGGAGATGATTTGAATACCACAGCTCTTCATTTTGCTGCATTAGAAGGTAATGTTGAATGCTTTTTCTTATTAAAGAAACGATTGATTTGATCTCTTTCATCGATTTGAATTTTTTTCCAGGTCACAAAAATGTCGCTGAGGTTCTCCTCAACAAAGGCGCCAATATAGATATCATGAATCATTTGAATAATACACCTCTTCATTATGCTGCTGAGAATGGTAATGTTGAATAAGTATTTTCACAAAATAAAGAATCGGTTTGATCTTTTTCATCGATCTAAATTATTTCTAAGGTCACAAGAATGTTGCTGAACTTCTCATCAAAAAAGGAGCCAAAGTTGATATTAGAAATGCTTCGAATCTAACACCTCGTCAGTTAGCTGTTAACCATGGTACTGCTGACTAAATTAAATACCGCTTTGATCCTTTTCATTGATCTGTATTTTTTTTCAGGTCACAATAATGTCGCCTAACTTTTCATCGGTAAAGGAAACCGAATTAATATTGAAGAACAATTGGAATAGATTCAATATGCTGCCAACAATAGTAATGTTGAATATTTCACTTTTCCGTACACTTTGTTAAGGAAATTGAAATGGAAAGATTTTTTCAATCTACCAATGAAATTTCAAATAAAACACCTTAAAGTGACTTTGCTTTTTCAAATTTCAAACAAAAATCAATATGAATATTTATTTATAAACGAAATTTTGGTTCGGATGCATTTCGACATTTGTCATCCTCAGCGAGTATCAAACAGAAAAGCAAAACATGTAACAATGTGTTGTGGTGCGAGCGCACGCCAAAAAATTACAACAACTAAAACAATAAAACTCGGTGTAACCGAAACAGCTACTTGAAGTAAAGAATGAGGCGTAAATTCTTGTAGATTTTTATACCATTGTGCTTTCAAGCAGTAGTTGAGAAGGTACGGACTCAAATACACTGTTCTATTGATTGGTAAATAATCATGGCGACTCCATATTATTGCAAAAAGCACAAATGGTATAAAGCCTTCACACGTTCTTTCAATCGATCTGAACAGTGGTGACCGTATTGGTGCTTCCATCGTGTTCATTGCGATGCTTCTGTTCAAATACATATAGATGCTTTCGTATGCGTCGAGTTTGTGTGCCTTGTTCACTTGTTTTTTCAGTTTGATATTGCTCGCATCCCATTGTGTGTGGTTGTTTTCTAGCGCGTGTAGTGCCACAGCTGATTTTGTTGCTTGGCATCTCATCTAACAATTATCAACCTAAATACATCCGATTCCAGGCACGGGGATAGATTTAACCGTAGAAGTAACCGTCATACGACCATTCCACACGAAATCAATCAAAATTTTAATCGGCTGAAATTTTGCATGGAAGTTGGGTTTGGGCAAAAACTCAGAAAGCCAAAATATTTCCCCAGGGTCTGCCTCTGGAGACCCTGCATGAATAGTGCAAAAATTGATACAAATTTTCAACGCGATCATAGTCGAATGAAATTTTTACACAAGTTAGGGTTTGCGGAGCCCCTTCCAGTCTACACTTTAGGTACCTCCCCAGATATCGCCTGACCCGATTTTTGGGTCCCCCGGGGAAAAATATAAACCCGATTTGCGGGCTAAGGAGTGGCTAAACCCTCCCGGACCAGTTTGTATTGGGTCAATTCGAAAGTTTCCGCCGTTTTTTTTGTCTAAAAATACATTTATTGAAAAATAAATTGAAAATGTGCATTAACCAATGTATTCGCCATCGTTAGCTATGACGTGAGCTTGAAGAAGTCCTCGTCTTTTGAGGTTATGTAGTCATCAACCCATTTTCGCACTTCTTCCTCATTTTGAAAGCGTACTTCAGACAGGGCAATCTGCATCGATCGAAATAGATAATAGTCGCAAGGAGCAAGGTCTGGAGAGTTCGCGGGCTGATCAAGCCGATCCCAACCGAGCTGCTCTACCTCATTTTTAACGATTGTTGCACGATGTGGCTTAGCGTTGTCATCGTGGAACAAAACTTTGTGGTTTTTTCGGGCTATTAATGGCCGTTTTTCATCCAATGCATGGGCCAAACTGGTCAATTAGCGTCGATAGCGTTCCTTATTAATCGTTTGATCTGGTTTTAGCAGCTCATAATACACGACTCCTTTCATATCCCACCAGATGCACAGCATAACCTTATCGCAATGAATATCTCGTTTTGGCTGGGATGGCGCCGGTTGGCCGGGATCAACATACGCTACTTCACGCTTGGGGTTTTCGTAATGAACCCACTTTTCATCGCCGGTAACAATCCGATACAAAAAACTGTTTCTTTTGTGCTCTGCAAGATGTTTTGTGCATATTGCGATTCGTGCTTGAAGTTGCTCTTCAGACAGTTGATGTGGAACCCATTTTCCCAGCTTCCGAATCTTTCCCATGGCGTGCAAATGTCTGAAAATGGTTGTTTGGCCGACGTTTAACTGCAATGCAAGTTCTTTTTGCGTTTGGGTTGGGTCTTCATCCAATAATGCTTGCAAATCGACATCTTCAATCGCTTCTGGCCGACCTGAACGTTCTTTGTCTTTCGAGTCAAAATCACCACTTTTGAATCGATGAGACCATTCTCTGCAGCTTCGTTCCGATGGAGCTTGCTCGCCATAAGTATCTGACAGCATTCGATGAGCTTCAGCGGCAGTTTTCTTCGAATCAAATAAGAAAAGAAGGGCCCCTCGAAAAAACACCTTATCACGATCCATTTTCAATCGATTCAAAAACAATGACGCAGAACGAAAAATGAATCTTTCTGCTCTGAGTTAGATTGCTAAATGTCACATCTACAAAATGCAATTGGATTCACTTGTCAAGCTACGCTCAGTTACAAGTGGCGACATTTAAATGTCAGCGGCGGAAACTTTCGAATTGACCCAATATCTCAATGTATTTTGACGAGATCTATCGATTGGAGCTTCCCCCGATGTCGACTGACCCATTTCCTGACTCCCCACAGTGTTATTATCGATGATGCTTCCCTTACATATACATTACTCCAAAAAATGGTCTGGGGAGGGTCAGGGGGCAATATATGTGGGTCCAATCGATAGATCATGTCAAAGTACTCTGACAAAACCCATTTGGGGAGGTAAACCCACTCCCTCCCCAATAGCTCGAAACACACGAAAAAGTATTCGAGTAACGAAACAATGTGATACAGATCCGTTTATACTACTGTGTCCAAAAAGTAAGGTGACATTGCATTTAAAATTTAGCGCGCTGGGGAATTTGAAAAAATCCTTTTATTTTTAGGTTGGTAGGACTGTCTTTGACATCCCTGCCAAATAACACGTCAAAATATTCATTAGTGTTTGAGATACGCTTCGTTTTGTGGACTGCTAAAAGTGAATTTCTCGTTTTTTGCGATGTCGAAATTTGTTGATCAAAGAATTTGCATTAAATTTTGTTTGCGGAATCAATTTTCTGCTGCGGATTCGTTGAGGATGGTGCAGAAAGCCTTTGGTGATGAGGCTATGTCGAAAAAAAATGTTTACAAGTGGTATAGTGAGTTCCAAGCAGGCCGTGAATGTGTCGAAGACGAAGAGCGTGCTGGGCGACCATTAACCTCAACCTACGAAGCTCACGTCCAAAAAATTAAAGATTTGGTGTTGGAAAACCGTCGATTAACGATTAGAGACCTTGCTGATGATATTGGCATATCGAAAGGCTCAGTCAATACCATTTTGAAGGATGTTTTGGGCCTCAAACGCGTCAAATCTCGACTGGTACCGAAATCATTGAATTTTTTGGAAAAAAGGTGTCGAGTTGACGTGTGTGAAACAATGCTTTCTGACTACATTGACAAGACGAAATGCATGATCACTGGAGACGAGACTTGGATCTATGCTTACGACCCGGAAACAACCGACCAATCGAGCGAATATCGTGCCAAAGGTGAGCCGAGACCAAAAAAACCGCGCCAAAGTCGCTCAAAAATCAAGGTCATGTTGACTGTTTTCTTCGATTATCGGGGTGTTGTGCATTATGAGTTCCTTCCCCCGGGTCAAACAGTCAACAAGGAATATTATTTGAGTGTTATGCGTCGTTTGCGTAACGCTATCCGCCAAAAGAGGCCGGAATTGTGGAAAGACAACTCTTGGTTTTTGCACCATGATAATGCATCGTCTCACAATGCGATCATTCTTCGTGAACATTTCGCCAAAAACTCGACTCATATCGTTCCACAACCACCGTATTCACCTGATTTGGCACCGTGCGACTTCTGGCTGTTCAACAAGCTCAAAAGACCGCTCCGGGGACACCGTTTTGAGACGATAGAGCAGATTGAAGCCGCAGCGAAGACGGAGCTGAGGGCCATCCCTGAAGTCGACTTTTTCAACTGTTTCGAAGATTGGAAAATCCGTTGGCATAAGTGCATTGTATCGGGAGGGGATTACTTTGAAGGCGATGAAATTGATTTGGAAGAATAAATAAAGAATTTTCAAAATAAATGCAATGTCACCTTACTTTTTGGACACAGTAGTATGACACAATGCGAGAAGATTCGTTCTAAACGACACTGCAGACAAAAAATCTATCAAAATGGAACACCGCAAAGCGAAATGCTCAAAGCGGCACATGCTATGTTTCATTCTTACGGATTTCTTTTCCATGTTCCACTTTAATGGATTGCTTTATTTTTGTTTCGTATCTGTGTATCGAGCGACGAAAGTCTCATGTTCTTTACAAGCCCATCAAATAGGTATTGGCATTTCGGTTAAAGGTCAATACGACCCAACACACGCGGAAAAAGTGATGTACATTGATTGGAATTCAAAAATAGTTTTGATGCGTTCTATATCTCTATGGAAAGTGTCATTAAGTACATGGAAAGTGTCATTAAGTACATGGAAAGTGTCATTAAGTACGGCTATGGTTTTGTATGAGATTCGCTTAAGATTTTTTTAGGGAATGCGTAGCTGTTCAACAAAGCAACGCAGCCACGGCACTTGAGCTTGAATGTTACGCAAAGATATGAGTCAAGCCGTTTAATCATTCATATTCATATTTACCATATGTTAGCGACGGTTGATCTGTGGTTATTTGTTAAATTGACGAAAGTGGCGAATAGCTGAACTAATTTAGCTGAATAATCGGATGATTTTTTTCTATGCCCATACTCGATTATCGATTAATATTCTGTCAAAAAATAACTCCAGTTGTCCATTTACCCACTGTCACCACCAATGTAGAATACTACAGCCCATAATTACGCTTGCATCGTCATAGTATCCTTGAACCCAAAACATTTATTATTTTTTGGGCCCTGAAGAAGAATCGCAGATGACTTGAAATGTCTGCATTTATTTCAAATAAATTATCGATTAGAACAAAGACCGAATTGGCTTTCATTTCAAAATCAATTCTTTTTTAATATTCTTGATTTAATGAGA